TAGTCAGGATGTTTTGTGCTATAGGAAGTGGAAAACCTGATTGTAGGTGAATTAAATGAGGAAAAGTATAATCTCTTGCAGTAGAAACTCCAGAAGTCACGCAGTCTCCAGGCCTGCTTGGATTCATGGTTCAGCAGTGTTACCGAGGCCTCAGGGTCTTTGGTATCTTTGCTGTCCATGGTCTCTGCTTGGTCTTACTCTCCTCCTGGCTGTAGCTGACTCTGAGTTCCTCCCTGTAGCCTAGGTGTCTCTCATTCTCACTGGGCTACCTTAGGTTGTGTATCTACCACTAAACCAGTGACAGTCTCGAGGGAATGCTGTAAGCTCGTGGCTTGGACGAGTTGCTGAGGTAGAATATATGTTGCGGAATCAGACGGTCTGTGTTCTCTACCTGCTTTTGGCCTAGGTCATTGGTAAGTGGGCTGCCTTTTGTCGGTGTTTGCCCTGTTGCCTTTAGATGATGATGGGCTATTTTTAAAGGGCCTGACCCAGTGTGATCCAGATTATCTGTACCTCCCCGTTGAGTTAATGCTGGTGTATTAACCAGCATTCTTCAGGTGTTCTTTTAGAGGTGTGTGGCTCATATTTTATCTTTAATCCCATGCCAGAAAGATACTGAACTTTTTATTGTAGGGGCAAAGTTTTTGCTGTTTGCTGTTGGGTTTTTATGTTTTAATTAATGAGTAGGACCACTTTTATGCATTGTTTTCTAATGTAATTTTTTTGGTGTGAGGGGCCATCATTTCTTTAGAATAACTAATCATTTTCTTCTAATTGATGCACTGACTTTTTTTTTCCTCCCCCAGAATAAATTTTACATTGAAACCAAGCTTAACAGAGACTTAAAGGACGACTTGGTAAAGCTGTTTACGGAACATGTTGCAGAAAAGCACATTTACAGCCTAATGCGTAAGTCACTGGACTTCTGGGGGCGGGAGGGACACCAGCGTGACCTTGTTCCTGTCTGAGAGCGCTGCTGCTGTAGGAAGCCTGACGTTGACAGCTTTGGAATCAGATCGAAAGGAGTGGTGAAGCCTTGTTTTATAAAGAGAGAGGCAGGAATTGGAGATGTGACTTGCATGTCACCCAGAAAGCTGGTAGCTTAGCCAACTCGTTCATTGGCC